ATCACATTTCTGATGGGTCTTGCACTGTTTTTGGGGTGTTTGTGTTTTTTTTCCCCCTTCGGCTGGAACAGATTAATCTCATTTCAATGCATTCCTATGGGAAATGGTGCTTTGACTTATTACCATTTCAAGTTCTGGACAGAGTTCCAGAAGCAATTAAGTCGAGGCACCACTGTATAATATAATATTGAGCTCATTGTTGTGTGTCCTGCACTCTGGGATGATCGAGAACAGATCTTTCCCCTCCTCTGTATGACAGCCTTTCAAATATTTGAAAACTGCTTCATATCACCCCTCAGTCTTCTTTTCCCAAGGCTAACATGCCCAATTCTTTCAGCCTTTCGTCATAAGGCTTGGTTTCCAGCCCCTGATCTGTCGCCGTCTTCTGAAATTGTTCCAGTTTGTTAGCATCCTTCTTGAAGTGTGGTATCCAGAACTGGACACAATACTCAAGGTGAGGCCTAACGAGTGCTCAGTGGAGGGGAACTAATACTTCACGGGATCTGGAAACTATACTTCTATAAATGCAGCCTAAAATGGCATTTGCCTTTTTTGTAGCCACTTCACACTGTTGGGTCATATTTAGTTTGCGATCTACAACAATTCCAAGATTCTTCTCACTCGTTGTTTTGCTGAGCCAGGTATCCCCCATTTTGTAACTGTGCAATTGGTTTCTTTTTCGAAGCTGCAGTATTTTGCACTTATTCCTGTTGAATTTCATTCTGTTAACCATCAGACATCTTTCATCACTTCAGTCTGCTTCAGTCCTCATGACACAGTGACTGTATCATCTAGTTCATGTATTCAGTTTACTTTGTTTCCACCTCTAGTTTAGTTTCCATCATAATTCACCAGTGAAAGAAGTTTAAAAATGCACCATGGTATCAAAAATATAATTACGAGGGCTCCTGTTCAATAATCTGGTGATACACAATAAAAACTGGGATGTCTTAACCACAAGAATGAATAAAAAGCAGGATACAATTAATTATTTATGCTCATATGATTTCAAATGCATTATGTCATCAATACCTACAACTACATAGTTAAGAAATTCTTACCACTTCTGTCAGCAGCTCCCCCACGCATTATCCGAGCCACAATAACAGCTCCAGTGTGTTCATCCCTTTTAATAGTAGCTCCCTTTAAAAATAAATTAATGTTGTGCTGTAGTGAACAGTTTTCCATAAACAACTTTTCAGAAACCTTTCAGTGAAATAGAATCTAGATTCCAACTCCAATTTTCACCAGTGAAAGCAGCCTGGCTGTCTTACATACCCGGAATGTTAAAAACATGATTGCAAAGTATGAAAACCTTAAACACTGCACATAAAGGAATGAAAGAGTCCAAGTATTTTTAAAAGAATATACACCAAAAAAGTATTCCACGTCTCCTGCATTATCTACTTTTAAGAAAACACAACTCTTAAAAAGAAAGTAACTGCTATTTTGGTGCCAAGGAGTCTTGAAGAATCTTGGACTGGTTTGCCAAGTAAAAATAAGTGACCTTGAAGATCATTCCACCTTGCAGCACTGTTTTGGAAAAACACATGGGGAAGAAGTCAAGTTTTTAAAAGTGAGATCTTTCTTACATTACTACAACTGTTTTTACAGTTGTAAAACACATACAAGACAAGTGCCACATGACTAAAGACACATGTAGAAAATGTCTGATGTTGAGGCTTGACAAAAAGTGTTACGCTCTTAGTTCATACCAAAAATTACCATCACTGCAGTAGAAATACCCTGCATCCAAGGTTCCTAATTTGCTTATCACTTTAACAAGTTTCTCATTACCTTCCTTCTCGCTGTATAAACTGCTCACATATAGCTTCCCATTTTCATATTACCTTCCTTATAAGTAATTTGGCAAAGACCTCTTCCCATCTCTGTCACTCTCTCTGTTAGTAATATCTGAACTAGTGTAATGCCCCCGGAATTAGGAAATTGATATCTTATTTCGTATAAAATATCTGTGGTATAACTATAATCATTTAATTTTAATACTAAATCTCAAACTGATTCTCTTTGTTCTGCTTGTTTTGAAATAGCTATCCCCCAGTCTACGCCTGATTTGTTTGTTTTGAAATAGCTATCTCCTGGTCTATGCCTGATTCGCTCTGTGCATACCACATAATTCACCCTCATGTTCATGAAATATACATACAAATTTGCACAGAAGAATGCACAACCATCACCTCTGCCTCATTCCCAGTTTCCAAATCCCCCCCAAATCAAGCTATTCCCCTTAGTTACTTGGCTGATTCAGGTGTCAACTGTTAGTTGCATACCAGCCACCCTCCTTTATTTTGAGACTTCATCATTCACCTGTATTTCCTGCCCAAGAGATACTCAGTTACCTCCTCAGCTCAGCTATTTTAATATCACTCTTACAAATATACTTTTAGATACAAATATAAATGGAAGTGGGGGAGAAATGAGATATAGGGTGTATCTAGGGACCAGCTAGATACAGTTTATTATTCTTATTCTTATCTTATTCTTATTATTTAAAAACACCAAGCACATTCAATCAAAATTATAAAAACATTGATTGGTATTATATAATAGAAACAAGTTTTAACCAAATATAAACGTAGTATGTATGCTGTTCCTAATATTGCCATTTTTTGTAGCTCCGAGGGTGTTCTTTCTGAGATGACAATGATTATACTTACCAATGGTTCTCTATTTTTTACAAGTCTAATTATTTTCACAGAGTCTTCCTCATCATCAATATCATCAGGCATGGGAGGCAATACTGGATCATAGTTTTTTTGAGCTACGGTGTCATGGACAGAAAGCAAAGCCTGAAAAAAATCAGATTAACAATCAACCGTCAGTTCAAAAGCATAAAACGGATGTCACTATCAGCACTGAAGATAAAGGATTAGCACTTTCCTGGAACAGGTTTGGGACAGTATGTCATTCCTTAAGTGGCAGTTTGGACATTACAATAATTAAACTATTTTACCACTCAATTTACAACTAAAATGAACTACAGTCGTGCCCCGCTCTACGACGAATCCACTTTACAATGATGTTTTTGCGATCGCAAAACTATGTTTTAAATGGTTTTTTTTCCGCTTTGTGATGATCGGTTCTCTGCTTCGGGAACCAATTTTCGCTTTACGACGATCAGCAAACAGCTGATTGGCGGGTTTCAAAATGGCCACCGGCTGAAGAAAATGCCCCCCCGCTGTTTTCTAGGACGGAGTCCTCGCTTTACAGGCATCGGAAAATGGGCGCCTTATGGAGGATCTTCGCTGGACGCTGAGGTATTCAGCCCATTGGAACGCATTGAACACATTCCCAAGCCAACTACACCAGAGCACAGCGTGCTGTCCTCTGAAGATGCCAGCCACAGAGACGGGTGAAACATTAGGAAGAACAACCTTCAGAACATGGCCAAAGAGCCCGCAAAACCCACAACAACCATTAGATCCCGGCCGTGAAAGCCTTCGCGAATACAGAGCACATTTTGTTTTGGGATGTGGCAAATATATTTATGCGAGGTCGTCCCCAGAATTTGCACAGGCAGAGAAAAACAGCCTGGTTGAGAGTCCACTCGTGTATTTGGGTACACTTCCTGCTTGGAACATCTATGTGATTGTCTTGAGTGGCAATGTGCACTGCTATAGGAAAAATGTGATGTTCAAGGCACCACTCCCAGAGTTGAATGGTAAGAAACAGCAACGGGACAGAGTGAGTACCTCCCTGCTTGTTTATGTAAAAACATTTGTTGAGATTATGGTAACAAATGAGAAATGGCATGAACCATTATGGTAATTTCAACTAACATACACTCAATGAATCAACTGAATTACTGTATGTTAAATGTTGACTCAAAATTCAACAATGAGAAGCTGAGATACTCTATAACAAATTAATTTATCTGCTGGTAACAGCTGCTGATAGATACCAATGCTACCAAACACCATTTTCATAGGAAAAAAATGGTTCATGCCATTTCTCATTTGTTTATTTCCTGTGCAATAAATAAGAACTTGCTTTCACTCAGCAGAGTTCACACACATCCCAAAAGCCCTGCTCAAGTGCATAATATGGCTACCTGCTGGCAAAGCAACATATATTCCCCACTCTGCAAATAAGGATCACATGTAAATTAGCTCCTACTCATTCTCCTTTGGAACATACAAATGCATTTGTAAGCTGGGACTATCTTGCTGCTGCTTTTTGTTCCTCTCCTACTGGAAGTTGGACTGTATCGTGGCTATTCTAATTTTGGATATGGCAGATTTGAACAGCGATGTTATATTAAATCCAAACCATTCTCTAACATTTTTCAGCCAACACATTCTTTTCCTTCCTGTACTACTTTCTCCTATTTATTTCACCTTGGATGATTGGCTGTCTCAATAATCCACCACATTGTCGTGATCGTTTCCTAAACTAGTTCAGCAAGCTGCTTCTAATCATTTTGCATATTCATGTACTCAAGGAAACTTTGAAAACTGAGATGGGTGAGCAAGTGTCCATTTTAACAGGTGCAAGTAACACATCCTCACCTTAAGGTTGGGTTTTGACAGTAGTTTCAACAGTTCTCTGATCTCACTGTTTAGTGGTTTGCTCTGCAGCTCCTCAGCCAGCTGTGAAGGTGATTTAAGTGACACAAAGAACATTAGCAAGAGCATTGTTTTATTCAGTGTGTCAGTGACAACCAGAAATCAATCTTGTTCCAAGGTTATTACTTTCCAATGTGTTCAGCATGAAGAAAAACAGACCATCAATCATTACTCTTCATTTTCTGGCCCTCTGGCTGAATTCTGGCTGGGTCTTTCAACTGAGATTGACTAAAGTAATCATATCTGGCAACAGTACACCCAGATCACATTCTGATTTATAGCAATGAGGGCAAATCCCAGCACTTCATCTAAATGAATGGCCCTTTGCGTGCAGACAAAGGACTGCTTGTAAAAAATGACTGGATCAAACTTTGACACTGTCTATAAAAACAGCTTCTGAATGAAGTGGTGAAATCCACACTGCTTCCAGAAATCCACAGTAGCTATTCTGTCTAAAGCTGGGATAGGGGAGCAGAGTGTCCCTATAGTGCTAGTAGTTCAAACTTCATTATGTTTACATACATACAAGTAACTTGTTGGATGCCACCTAAGTTAATCACAGCAACAAGTTACTAAATGCTTCAGCTTTCTATAGAGTGAAGCATGATTTTCAACAGTCAATTCCATTATACGCAGCTCTACCACTAATACAATCTGATTGTGATTCTCATCATTCATTTAGAAATTAATTATTTTCTTAAGGCAAATTTGTTACTGCAACATTTCAGCAAGAAAGTAGCTTTCTGCAAATTCACATTCACTAGGGTTGCATGCTCCTTGACCATTTCTACCCCACAATCTCAGAAGATTTCTCTGTGAACAAATGTGTCAAATAAAATATTTTCTATGCTATTAATCTACAAGAAATTACAGGGCAGCAACCACAAAAAAAACCCCACAACACAGCATTGTACCAAAAACTGACCCTGAGTGTACACCACTGTGCCAAGCATACCTAAGGTTTCACTTAAAACAGTCTAATTTACTTTTTTATTCTGCCTACCTCAAGTTCTGTCATAGTTTATACAGGTGTGCATACAATTCATCAAGGTTGTAGAATTCACCACATAATGTAGAAAAGGCAGGGTTGATTTTTATTAATAAAAATTATAGTAACAGGAAATTAAATGCTCTATCAATGCCAACCAATCTAATTTTATTTTTTAGTTATGAAAGTAATTTGGAAAGCTTTAATATCTATAAATCTCTGCTTCTTTTTGAACAGTTATTTTTGCCAACTCTTCCTACAACTTTCATAAGCCTCATTTCGTTTAGTATTATCAGTCATTTTTCTTATTCTGTCAGCATGTTAGCTATCTCATTTATCTTTAGTTCTGGAAAATATTCTCATGTCTAGGACTCTTCTAACACATAAGTAGCTAACAGCTTCACCTACACTGCAGATTTCTATACATAAAATTTTCTTACATGGTACCCATGCAAAAGGAGAACCAACTCTAGATGCCATGTTATTATAACAGTAACATGTCTAATAAAAAATCAAAACAACATTTGCAATCATGTGATGACAACTCTTTGGAAACTTTTGCATATCCAGCTTACATCGCTCTATTCATACACTTATTCTATGCTCTGCTTTCAGACAGTTTAGGAAATATGGTGCCAACAGCTTCATCAGGGACACTTACGTCATCTGCCAAGGCTGATGCACCATGCAACATAGGCACAGGACTCTGTTTTTCATAGTAATTCAATTTCTCATGAATCTGGAAGATAATGCAACAAAATATTTTACTTAGCAGAAGTACCGTCTGACAACATAAGCTGGCCAGTTAAGTAACAGCAAAGAAACAACCTTGCAGAAGCATTTAGTAGTAAATATGTAGATACAATTCATCATCAGCTTCTGGAGAAGTTCTGTATGAAGTCAGATGGAAAAAATGTTGAGTATGTAGACCAACCCACAGGAAAACTAAACATTTGCTATTTCTTTTCCCTGCTTTGATATTTTGGGCCTACATTTTCACATACTTCCTTATTATCAGGTATATTTTGTAACTGTGCTGAATACAAAACATATTTTTATTTCTAAAAAGAGGTAAGTTACATAGGCACTTCTAATAGCTTCATACTGATTTAGTGATAAGAATACTGCATTTTAGCTTTTCAGTTTTGCAGAACTCCGAGTTAGCATTTCTAGAGAGCACTCCATAATGCTGCTATGATTTCTTTCCTACAAATACATGGATGATTATTGACGTACTGTATCAGTATACAGTATATTCCACACACTTGAGGGCATGGCTTCCCACATGCTTGTGATGAATCACATTTGTCACTTTCCTTTCCAGTAACAACTATTGGGAGTGAGGAAACTGGGCTAAAAGCTTAATGGAAAAAAGGAGGGTTTTGAGGACCGATTTAAATGAAATAGGAGGTAGGAACTGCACATTCCTCTTCTCCACAGTTTCCTGCAAATATACTGCTGCCTCAATCACTTATAACTTCTCTCAGTCCAAACTTAACCATATACATTACTAATTATCTTCCATTATCAATTTGAGATTCTAATCTGAGGTTTGGAACTAATTCCAAAATTTTGGTTGAGCACAGTTTAAAAAGACAAGGGCTTTTTTTCTGAACAAGAAAATAACTGTACAAACTCTTCAAAGTCTATATAAATTAACACTAATTTGAGCACTATGTTTCTACATGCAGGGTTCAATACAGTATTTCTCTTTTTTTACTACCAATGATTCTTGTCTTCCAAATCAACACCAAGTTTAATTTGTTTGCTATTCAAGAAATCTTACTTTCTCATTCCATTTCTAACAAACTGTACAATATAGGCAGACACAAAACGTATTTCAATCTCCAAATTAAAAATAACACAAAGCAACAAGATATATTCTTGTAAGCTTAAAATGAACAATTTAAATATTGGTCTTAAACTCCTTTACTCTTTGTATAGTTTCATTTCAAGTGTTGATCTTTCTGAAGGAAGCTTTTCTATTTCTTTATTCCTCACAGAACAAAACAAAGCAGCTATTATTTCAGATTTCAGATACTTCATTCAAGTGAACTTTTTTTATGAGAAGGGAAAAGTTTTGATGACTTTGCTAGGAAGAAGCCCCCCCCCCCCTTGGTGGATAGAGGAAATTCAGATTACAGCCAAACAAGTCACCTTTTCTCCAAAATAAATTTCTCTACCCCTTTGGAGCCAAACTCCCTGCCCTGCTACTGCGGAAAGAATTTCCAAAACCGGACAAGGTTTTGTTGTGAACTCTGAGCTGAAGTTTCTTAGAACTTTAACACTTTTAGGACATTATGAAAGTTGAATTGTTTTCTTCTTTTTGAGAATAAGACCTCAGGCAACAATCCTATTTTTATATATGCAGATCACAATACATACCACCAAATGTTATCTTCCTTGAAACCTGTGATCCCTCAACAGACAAGTTTTCTCTATTTAGTTGCTCAAGATACATGTATTTCCTTCATATACACGATGCATTATTACATTTAAACTCCAAATGAACTCTACGCAACGCTTTTAGCACCAGAACATGTTTTTAAAGAATCTTTGAACAGCAGCTTATGCATGTTTTCTGAATGATATTTTGAACTAATAATGCTGAGAAATAGCTCTCAATATGAGATTATTTTCATATTATTTATTTATTTAAAATATTTTACCCTGCCTTTCTCCTTGAAAAGGATCCAAGGCAGATTACAACACTGAAACAAATATTTAAAGTTTAAAACAATGAGTATACAATGGAGGTTAACATCATTAAAGGACAATATTTAAAGCTAAAAACAATGAGTATAAAGAGGTATCTTACATCATTAAAAGACAATATTAAAGCTCAGAACAGTAAGTATACAAATATTTTTTTAAAATGCTACTGTGAGAAAGGGAAAACACAAAAATAGAAAACACAAGTAGTACTGAAAATCCAGTCAAAGCAATAATGAATAAACATCCATCTAAACATCACACACAAGTAGCTAGTTACTGAGGTCTGCCTGAAGAGAAAGGTTTTGCCTGCTTGTGGAAGGACAGCAAAGATGGGGCCAGTCTGGCCTCCTGTGGAAGGGAGTTCCAAAGTCTGGGAGAAGCAACAGAGAAAACTCTCTCTTGAGCTCATCATATGCACTTATGAAGAGATAAAGGCCTCCCTTGATGATCTTAACATCTGAGCTGACTCATAATAATCTAGGAACATCCCCAAGTTGCACACCTTTTTTTCCAATGGGAGTGTAATCCCATCCAGTACCAGCTGCATCCCTATTGCTTGATCTGCCCTTTGATTGACCAGAAACACCCTGTCTTGTCAGGATTAAGTTTCAATTTATTCACACTCATCCAGTCCATTACTGATACCAAACACTAATCTAGAGCTGAAGCAGCTTCCTCAGATTTAGGTGGCAAGGGGAGGTAGAGTTGGGTGCCATCTGCATACTGGTGACACTGAACCCCAAAACACCAGATAATCTTTCCCAGCGGTTTCATGCAGAATGCCACAGGAGACAAAATAGAACCCTGAGGGACCCCACAAGTCAGCCACTAGGGTGTCAAATATGAAACCCCAGCACCACCTTCTCTTCTCTCCTCTAGGAAGGATTGGAGCCACCGTAAAACAGTGCCCCCAAATCCCATTCCAGAGGGACGGGTCAGGAGGATACTGTGGTGGACAGTATTGAAAGCCACTGAGAGGTCCAACAAAACCAACATGAACACAGATCCTCTATTCAGTTCCTGGTGTAGGTAATCTACCAAGGGGACCAAACCTGTCTCTGTCTCATAACCAGGCCTGAAGCCAGATTGAAATGGATCTGGATAATGTCTCATTCAGAAACCTCTGGAGTGAAGAGGCCACAACCCCCTCTAGCACTTTTCCTAAGAATGGGATATTATTCAGTATTATAGGGTCCAAAGACAGTTATTGTACCCAATTAGTCTGAGCTCCATAAAACAAAACATCCTGTTTAAATCTAGTTTACCACTATGACTCCTGAACTAAGTACATCATAATCCTGAGTTCAGACATAATCTGCAACTGGTTTGCTCATCCACTCAAGAGAGGGGGAGGAACAAAGCAGAAGCAAACAATGGGGATGCAATTCCTCTTTATTGCAGCATTCTTCTCTTTGCCAATAAAGAATTCCCTAGTGTGCTCAAGAAAGTTCCTGCATTCTCAAGAGCAATGCTTTGTGCAAAAATTGCTCTTTGAAATGTAAACTTTCCTTTTTTTGTGGAGTTTTACACAATTAATCCAATTGCACAAATAGATTAAATCCCAAACTTGGATGACTGCTAGTTTATTTAAGAATCTGAAACACTAGACATGCTATTTGCATCTTTCCTAATAATCCAACAACTTTTTAGTACTTGCTGTCTGTGTATGTCTCTTGCTTCTCAAAGGGAAAAGATGCTAGAGCCACTTTATATAAACAACAGAGATCAGGAAAGCTCTGTCTTTTTCTTGGCTAGTGGTGAGGAATTTCACAGGGCTTTAATTTGGCAAACAGCTTATATTGAGAACAATAAGGAATTTAGCAAGATTTTTACCATCACTAGTGAATGAACTACAATACTTAGCTTATTCACATGAAGCTGAGTTTTAAGCCTCACTTTTGCCACAACCTCCCTTAAATTGCTGCTCAGTTGCTCACTATAAAAATTTAACAGATTAATATGAATTAGCCCATATCAAGAGCAAAAGAGTTACAAAGCTCTAACTGCTCAAAGCAAAGTGTGAAGTCAGAGAAAAGAAGGTGTGCCTCTTGTATTACAAGTGTATAAAGGAAATTTAAAAGAGGCAGACATTACATTGATATGTACACGTACATCACCAACTACTATCACACTGTAATGAAGATTCAGAAAAATTAATGTTCATACTTCAAACTCAATCCCATGTAGACTCTGTTGGGTGTACACACAATACAAAATGCAACACATGTTCAATTTTCAGTTTTCTGATGCCTTGTCAGATATTAAACAGTGAATGGGCACCACATGTCTAGTACAAATATGCTAAGCGTCTCATGCCACAGTTGGCATCTGCACAAAATTTCTGTCTGAAGATAATCTCCATGCCATCATGCCATCTGCATAGCAAACACATTTTACAAAGCTGTTGAGATAGTTATATTAAAACCCTGTGGTTAAGAAAATTTTTGTTAACAAGAATGTCAGCTATAAATTAAGAGAACATAAACATGAGAACCATATGCTTGTAAGATACACATTCCAGATGAAGATGCTTGAGAGTTAAACAGAGTGTTGTGTATTTCCTATGTATAAATGGATGCAAAAATAAAAATACAAAATAGAAATTAAATAAGAATATAAGAAAGAGTAATGCATCCATAGAAAGCAGCAATATAAAGTTTATTCACCAACAGCTAATGAGCTAACCAGGTGAAAAAGCATCATGAGTTCTGAAACTTCTTTAAGAAAACTGATTCTAGAATAAAGTCCAGGAGTCTGGAGCAGGGTATACAAGAATGTTCCTTGGATTGTTGTTATGCGCCATCAGGTCACATCCAACTTTTGGTGACTCTAATATGGGTTTCAATATGTGAGATATCTAAGGATTTGTTTATTGCATCAATGGAACTTACAGAGGAGGTGACTTACCAGTACTGTCACGCTGCTCATCTCCATGAATTTCCATGACCTAGCACGGATTCAAATGCATGTTTCCTGAATCCTAATCAACACTCTGTCCACTAGTAATTTAATAAACTGTTGGCA